CAGCCTGATCACCCACAACTGCCCTCCCCTCTTGGCCTCTAACCACCTCTACCTCAGCCCCGCCACCATGGCTTTGTCCAGAAGAATGTCCGGAAGGTCTCCTGGAAGGTCTCCCAGTCTAATTAGCATATTACCCTTTTATTAGTATAGATAGAGGCCTGGTGCACAGGTGGGGGCTGGCTGGTTTGCCCTGAAGGATGTCCCAGATCAGGGTGGGGGTTCCCGTGGGGCATGGGGAAGCCTGGGCGAGGGGTCTGTGGTGGTTTGCTGGCCAGCCATGCCCCCATGGGGTGAGGGTCACACCCCCTTCAAGCTGGCCACACCCCCTTCAGGGTGGGGTCCCCACTTGGGTGCCTGGCCAGCCTGGGTGAGGGGCTGATGGCTGTTTGCAGGCTGCCTAAGCCCCTCAGCAGGGACCCTCACCCCATGAGGGTGTGGTCAGCCTGGGTGAGGGGCTGATGGCTGTTTGCAGGCTGCCTAAGCCCCTCAGCAGGGACCCTCACCCCATGAGGGTGTGGTCAGCCTGGGTGAGGGGCTGATGGCTGTTTGCAGGCTGCCTAAGCCCCTCAGCAGGGACCCTCACCCCATGAGGGTGTGGTCAGCCTGGGTGAGGGGCTGATGGCTATTTTCAGGCTGGCCACAGCCCTTTCTGGGTGGGGGGTCCCACTGGGGTGCCTGGACAGCCTGGGTGAGGGGTTGATAGCTATTTTCAGTCTGGCCACACCCCCTTTAGGGTGGGGGTCCCCACTGGGGTGCCTGGCCAGCCTGGGTGAGGGGCTGATGGCTGTTTGCAGGCTGGCCATGGCCCCCAGCGACCCAAGCTCCCAGCCCTTCCTTTTTTTTTTTTCAGTGCCTCCTTGAGCGGAGGAAAGCAGGTATCGGAGATTTATGTATTTTCTATAATTGAAACTTTGTAGCCTTGAGCGGAGCCCAGGGCCAGCCAGGCGGGCGGGAAGCTTGGCTTCCTCCATCGCCAGGGGCAACCCAAGCCTCCTCCTCGCTCCAGCTCTGTGGCCGCCGCCATCTTGGTAGGGTTAATTTGCATACTCACTCCTGATTGGCTGGTGGGCGTGGCTTGTGGGTGTAGCGGAGTGGCAGAGTGATGGTTAATTTGCATGTTTCTCTTTTATTAGTGTAGACTAGAGACCTGGTGCACAAAAATTTGTGCACTCAGGAGGGTCTCTCAGCCCGGCCTGTGCCCTCTCACAGTCTGGGACCCCTCAGGGAATGACCACCTGCTGGCTTA